TGTAAAATGTATCTCGCGCGTGTTCGAATAAATTGAAAAGATGGCAATTGGTTTGAAATGGAACTCTATGTACATAACGCGCAAGTATACATAGCAAACAAACGCTGCGCTTTATACACGACTGTTATGAAAAGGAAAATAAAATATTTTTTTTTGTTTTTATCACCGTGTATTTCCTCAAGATATGTACATAACAAATATATACATAGATTAATTCACTCTTAATACTTTTAATTCACGCGAATGATAACACGAGTGTGAATCACGATGCGCGAATAAAAACTTTCTGAACTCGCGTGAATAATCTAATAATTAATAATAAACTGAAAGTGTTTCTAAATATACTTCGAATGTTTGCGCACATAACACACCTACTTGATATTTTTTTTGGTTTTTTTACGAAGTCTATTCATAGCTTTCAGAGCTACTTTAAAACGTAAATCTTTATCTTTTATTATCTCTCGTAAATATTGTTGTTTATTAATAATGTTACGTTATCTCCCGATGTGATTGAGTTTGTATATATGCAAGACTGACCGGGAAATCTACGCGTATGTAAAACCGGTCATTATGAGTAAATAACGATCTGATCGATGTGTATATCATATATAAAGCGTGTGTGCGAGCTATATGTAATAACTTGCTCTCTATCGATCTCCCCTCTCCCTCCCTCCCCCCTCTTCTCGTATATGTAATCATATTCATTCATAAGGTACACTACAGCGGTAACAGAAACAAAATGTCTCGTGGGTAATACGAATTCCTGGCATTATTTATCATTGTCCAGTTTTCATATTTTCGCAGCAATTTATGTCGCATAATGCGCGCCTTTTCGCATAAATAGTAATAATTGATATTCGCATAAGCAGATACGCCGATAATGCGGAAAACACATATGGAAAACTCGGCTGTGTTATTCGCAACACAATGTGCAAATTGCTAAATAATGTTTTTATAATTAATACAAAAGTAGTATTTTACTAAACAATTAATATCGATTGTCGCTTCGTGCTGATCTTTCGAATAGTAATTATCGTGGAAAAAAAATGACGTGACGAAACACACATTTTGCAAAAAACAAACAGAATGCGGAGAAGGTCCTTTCCTCCTTCCGTGCCTTCTGTTTATATTAAATCAACGATCTCCGAAAGCCAAAGTCTTCCCGCTCGTCGTCGTCGTCGTCGTCGTCTTCTGTAAAGTTCTCGAGCTGCACGTCGCATCGCACTCGTCGCATTACGAGACAAGTTCTTTGCATTCTTCGTCGCTTCGTCGACTCCCGACTTCCGAGCAGCCGAGATCTGCACTCGCGCTAATTATCCAAGTCCTCCATTAAAGCGCCGGCAGAACTTACTTCGGCGACGCATCGGGGCTCTCGGGCCGCCTGTCCTTCCGGTGCAACAACCCGGAATGCCTCCCAGCACAGGAGAACTCGTCTTCAAACGACGTCCGCGTCTCGAGCGCGTCGCTACGTTACGAGCAGCACCGCGTCCCCGCGTCTCTCACTCCCTTCGACCCTTCGCCTGCCCGCGCTCACCTCCTATCCTCCGATATACCAATTCCGCCCAGTGCTTCGCGATGGAACGTGAACTCGCCTCCTCCTCCTCCTCCTCCACCTCCTCTTTTTCCCCTTGCTTCACCTCCTCTCCGCGCTCTCTGCCTGTCTCGCGCATAGCGATCCAACGGAGAGAGGACCGGCTAGCGGTGCTACAGCGGAAGAAAGAGCGAGAGAAGCGCGCGCGCGGAGAAGCGCCCGAGAGCGAGAGGAGAAACGAGAGAACCGGTGCGAGAAAGCAGATACGGAACGCGGGACGGAGACGGATTGATACGCGCTGCGCGCGTGTGGCAGAGAAAGGTAGATGGAGCGAAAGAGAGGGTGAGGGAAACAGCCGGAGAGACGCAGAACGTGAACCGATGCGGCTGTCGCGAGAGAACGTGACACGGGAAAGGGAAGAGGGGAAGGGGAGGGGGGCGGCGGAGAGGACCCGCTCTCCCGAGTGTCAGGAACGAAGCGAGAGACGAAGAAGAAGCGGCTGCGGCACGGAGCGACGGAGAAAGAAGCGGGCGGCGAATCGAGATAACGAGTGCAACGGAGAACGCAGGCTAGGGAGCGAGAGAAAGAGGGAGGGTCGGAGGGAGGGAGGGAGGGAGGGAGAAAGAAAGAGAGAGACAGAGACAGCGCGATACGCAGAACGCGAGGGACGTGGGCAGATAGAACCCGAAGAGTGGTAGCGCGTGCTCACAAACTCAAACCAGCGCTTCGTCGTCATTGCTGCCTCCTCCGCTCTACCGCTACTCTCTACCGTCCCTTCGTCCCTCCCGTTCGCCATCTCGTGCTCTCCATCCACTCTTCCGCCCTTCGCTACGTCGCCCTCTGTGGTGTCCGCCTAACCAACCCCACTTCACCCCGTTCACC